CCGTCCTACCGTCATATCCTATCAGAACCGACCGACCGACCGTACCGACCTACCTGTCCGTACCGACCGACCGATCCGGTCCGAACCGACCGTTCCTGTCCCTACCGACCGTCCGACCTACCGACCTACCTACCGTACCTACCGACCCTCGCCGACGACCGTCCGACCGACTGGTGCTTCCCGTACCGACCGAACTGTCAGACCGCACCCGACCGTACCGTACCTACCTTCGGGTACTACCGACATGACCGACTCATCATTCCACAGGACGGAACCTCCCCGTACGACCTTTCCGACCCCGACCTTCCTACACGACGACCGCATCCGACCCGCACCTACACCGACCGGACCACGACCTTACCTACCGACCGACCCGACCGACCTTCCGACCGACATACCTACCCTACCGTACCCGTTCCGACCGTGACTTACCGCGCGACCGACCTACCGATACCGACCCGACCGACCGAGCCCTACCTACTATACCTACCTACTGTACCGACCGACCTACCGACCGACCTACCTTCCGACCGAACTAACCGTACCGACCGTCCTACCGACCGACCGTCCTGTCCGTCTTCCTTCCTGTCCGTGCCGCGCGGTTCCGTGTCCAGGCCCTCGCATGTCGTTACGGGCGTATCTAGCTTTCGGGATTGGATTACTTTCTTGCTGTCCTGCCGTGTACGGCCGTGCCTCCCTTCTTACCCTACCACCAAACCCCACCGATAGCTATACCACCACATGCAAATGTCCAGCTGCGAACTTATTACACCCAACATCTGCGCCATCCACCTTGTATGCTCCACATATCACAACGACAAGGACACAAACCCAAATGATGATCCGACACCGGCTACTTTCGGAGCCATTGAATCTTCAACCCTAATAAAAGGCTAACCACTGACAGGAAAGCATCCAACTGCGTCACAAAGCAAGCTCTTACTTGGAATTCTCATGGTCAACGAGGAAGATCAATGAACACATTACGTCGAGAAATTGAGATAGTCATTATAATAATGAACAACAATTGGATAAAACTAGAAAGAAAGACTCAGGACAAAATGGGTTGGAGAATGCTGGTCAGGGGCCTATTCTCCATTGGGATTAACAGGCATAAGTAAGTAAGTAACCAATTAGATGTTAACAGTTCAAGAATCGACATCTAATAATGTACATTTTTTTCGCTGCATATTGCCATCAACCACGATATCTCTGATTGGGTTTTTTGTAAGTTGTTCAATGAAAGGTTGTACATTTTTCACAAACGTACCTGAATAGTTTGTGTAATTCATTGATATAGTGATCTGTTGAAACAAACAAGGGAACAAATAACTAATTGATATATCTACATGGCAAGAAACAGGTTGTTCAGTTATTCAAGCAGGCTGCAATAATAGAATGAAACAACTGTAGTTTAATCAAAGTCAATCAAGGTCGACACTAAAAGGATTAGACAAATCAATCTGTGATAAATTCATACAAAAACTCACTCTTACATAGTATATATTAGTGATGATAGTATTAAAAGTAGAATTAAAGATTAATCTTTCAGAGAACTAAATTACCTTCCGGACTATAAACGGAGAAGGTTCGGAGTTTGAGTCCCATGTATGTGATCGTAGATGTGTATTGCTGAGGAATCCCATACTAGAACGAAAAGGCTGTTCAGCGCCTCGATTTTTTCAATTTTGGTTTAACATTGATCGGTTCATGATCTTAAATAATGCATGAAGAAAAAACATCTTGGTCTATTTTTTTAAATAGTTGAATTCATGAGTCAATTAAAGCTGAACCGACATGGAAAACCTGGAAGTATTGGACGGTCGTTTCGTCCTAGTTTGGAACTCCTCAACAGTGCACATTGACGACTCCATCCACGTGATTCCAACCCATGACCAATCGGTCTCGCGCGCGATCGCTTAAGCTATAAACCACTGAGCTCACATCCAACGACATTAATGTCTAACGTAAACAAATCTAAGAAATCGCACCACCGTCCACCATTTTCTTCCGTGAGTTACTATATCACAACAGATCTGATCAAACTCCAGTGGTCACGGCTTCTCACTAGAACTACAGGAAATAGATTTTGGAGACCATCATTAGTGAATATATGTTGAGTAGTATTAGAAGGGGTTTATGTGGATATTATAGTAATTTAATAGTTAAACTCATGCATTAATACATATGCACCATGTGTTACTATAGACTAAACAAAATACAAACAAATATATAAACATAAACAAATGTTTGTGTGTTTATTTGTCTGGCTTCAGTTGTTAGTGTACTGATCAATGTCTGTTCTGGTTTTTTTTTAATGCTCGGTTAGTTATTTTAGCGGCGGGGGGGAATCTAAATTGAAAATAAGTCAGTGATATTTTTATGAGCTATGCAAAGAAAGAAGTCAAGTTATCAGAATAGTATTCAAGGCACGGTTTTCTTCACTTAGTAACTAATGCTCATCATTGCAATGATAATTATTATGTAGCAGTAAATAAATCTTTAAAAATAGTTTTGTGTGTCTTTGACATTTGATACTGACCATATTAGTTTTAATGGACTCACGCATCTGCACCAGATCACGAGTGAGTACGCCGTGCTATGTATCTTTTACGATCGTTAACTAGCTTAGATTAAACGCTTCCCTATATATACGTATCGATAATCTTTAAATTATATCTTCGAATATCTTCGTTTCTGACTTCTGATTTCACTGGGTTGACATCCTTCAATCAATAAGGTGTTATGTGTAAAGACGTTGTCAAACTTCGAATACCTGTAGTATCTTTAATCACAGTATAGTAGACATTAGGGAAATAAGCAAGAGTGACTTGGAATTAAGATAGTAACTCACCGATAGCACAGAATAACTATGGTTCGATATATATACAGGGAGAGAGATAGATAGTCCTCCTGGAGTCCCTCTGGGGCTACTGCTTGTCCAAAGCCCGGATAAAGGAGTAGGATTGGGTATAGGGTTAGTGACTCCATTCCGTGGAAAACCAACTCGCTTAAAAAAACGCTAACCAGAAAAAATAATAATCCAAACCATGTAACCCCTACCCTGGGATTTAGAAGTTCTTCATTTAGAAGAGTTATGATGCCTCATGGTGAAAACTAAGTTCCTTCAAAAGTTACGAAGCTGATATCCCTTCTGGCAACCACAGCAACCATTAATTTAAGTACATGGAATGCTCGTACAGTATGAGAGACCGGGAGAATCATCCAAATTACTTCAGTAATGAAAAGTTGAAACCTAGAGTTACTTGGAATCAGTGAAACACACTGAACACAGGTTGGAAAACAAAGATTAGCTTCATGGGGAGCTGCTGTTAAACAGTATATGGTTCGATTCAATGATTGGTTACAACAGTGTTTACCATGAGTGATAAAATTATATGTACTCATTCAATTGTGGGTAATATCGGGTGAAAATTCTTGGCATCTTGATAAGAATCTATAACTAATACAGTTCAGTTATATTGGATATGAGACAGTTACCCAATAATAATGAATGAGAAGATAGTTACTGCATACTCCAAATTAATTGAAGTTATAGATGTAAACAATTGTATGACGTATTAGTGTTCCAAAAATTTGGTAATCACATAGACGCCTGAAAGTCCAAAGTACAATTCCTATACTAGGGTGAGTTAGTTGGTCAGTGTTTTATAGTTTTCATAATTGATTGATCGTTGGGTGGTGATCAATGTCATGTGTGTCAAGTCCTTCTTACTGCAGATTGAATGCTATCGACCGATTTGCAATGTGGCCACTAGTCTAAGTGACTTGACATTGTGTGCACTAAAATGAGATAAGATGGTGGTTAAAGATAGTCAACAGGAAACCCTGGACCCGGGTTTCGTGCTATTTGGCACACGTCAGCAAGGTGTGCCCGTAATCTTGAAGGAACTGGTGCTCCTCGACGGATTCGATCCCGTGTCATCTAGCTTCACAGTCAGGAACGTGACCACTGAGCCATCCGGGCCCCGAGCGACCTCCTCTAAGACTGAAATGCATTCACAAGTGATTGATCACTGGGTGGTGATCAATGTCATATGTGTCAAGTCCTTCTTTAGTGCAACAAGGGTGAGTTAGTTTGTCAGGGTTTTATAGTTTTTAATAATTAATCAATTAATGACGATTCGTAGTGTAAAGGTTTGTAGCAGTCAATAAATTCCCAAAATCAATAGCTGTGTAACTCTTCGACATTTGATGATGGCCATATTAGGTTTTAATGAACTCACATAGCTGAATGCGCTCAGTCACGCATCCGTACCAGATCACGAGAGGAAACACTGTGCTCAACTTCTCCTATAACCGCTAGTCAGTTTAGATTATTCACTTCATGTTATATCGATAACTTATCAAATATATCTTCGAATCTCCTCTCTGCTGACTTCTGATTTCATTGAGTTGTCACGTTTCGACTATAGAAGTTGTTACTGATTCAGGCGTTGTTAAACTCCAAATACTAGTGACATCTTCAAGCTTAAAATTTTGCGAATATCCACGTTTACACATGCACACACTATACAAGAATGTAGATTTCTCTTGCTCTGTAATTCCCGAGTACTTTTTGGCCTCTTCCAAACGCTTTATTATTGCTGTATTTCCGAAAACAAACATAAATGAAACCAATGAGTTTTTTTTCCTTCGAAAATCAAAATGATTAGGTAAATGTCCACCAATCATCACAACCACCACAACCACCAACCTCTACTATTTCAACAAAAAAACGATCAGATTATAATTTAAAATACACGTAATTATATAAGAAAAAAAGAAACAACTTAGATGGTGTAATTAACACTGAATGATTGTTGCTATGGCACAATTGTCAAGTCAGAATTTACGTTATCTAAATGATTCTTGATAGAACAAATTACGCAACTCTCTGTTTCGCGCTCCCTCGCTTGCTGAAGAAGTTGTTGAGTCATGATTAAATTGTTAGCGTCTTAAAAAGTCAATATGTAAACATTCTATGTATTACTCTGTCTTTAGTTTTCTAGACACTTTACTATACACAATACGATGTTCCTTTGATGATGATGATGATGATGATGATGATGATGATGATGATGATGATGATGATGATGATGATGATGATGATGATGATGATGATGATGATGATGATGATGATGATGATGATGATGATGATGATGATGATGATGATGATGATGATGATGATGATGATGATGATGATGATGATGATGATGATGATGATGATGATGATGATGATGATGATGATGATGATGATGATGATGATGATGATGATGATGATGATGATGATGATGATGATGATGATGATGATGATGATGATGATGATGATGATGATGATGATGATGATGATGATGATGATGATGATGATGATGATGATGATGATGATGATGATGATGATGATGATGATGATGATGATGATGATGATGATGATGATGATGATGATGATGATGATGATGATGATGATGATGATGATGATGATGATGATGATGATGATGATGATGATGATGATGATGATGATGATGATGATGATGATGATGAGATGATGATGATGATGATGATGATGATGATGATGATGATGATGATGATGATGATGATGATGATGATGATGATGATGATGATGATGATGATGATGATGATGATGATGATGATGATGATGATGATGATGATGATGATGATGATGATGATGATGATGATGATGATGATGATGATGATGATGATGATGATGATGATGATGATGATGATGATGATGATGATGATGATGATGATGATGATGATGATGATGATGATGATGATGATGATGATGATGATGATGATGATGATGATGATGATGATGATGATGATGATGATGATGATGATGATGATGATGATGATGATGATGATGATGATGATGATGATGATGATGATGATGATGATGATGATGATGATGATGATGATGATGATGATGATGATGATGATGATGATGATGATGATGATGATGATGATGATGATGATGATGATGATGATGATGATGATGATGATGATGATGATGATGATGATGATGATGATGATGATGATGATGATGATGATGATGATGATGATGATGATGATGATGATGATGATGATGATGATGATGATGATGATGATGATGATGATGATGATGATGATGATGATGATGATGATGATGATGATGATGATGATGATGATGATGATGATGATGATGATGATGATGATGATGATGATGATGATGATGATGATGATGATGATGATGATGATGATGATGATGATGATGATGATGATGATGATGATGATGATGATGATGATGATGATGATGATGATGATGATGATGATGATGATGATGATGATGATGATGATGATGATGATGATGATGATGATGATGATGATGATGATGATGATGATGATGATGATGATGATGATGATGATGATGATGATGATGATGATGATGATGATGATGATGATGATGATGATGATGATGATGATGATGATGATGATGATGATGATGATGATGATGATGATGATGATGATGATGATGATGATGATGATGATGATGATGATGATGATGATGATGATGATGATGATGATGATGATGATGATGATGATGATGATGATGATGATGATGATGATGATGATGATGATGATGATGATGATGATGATGATGATGATGATGATGATGATGATGATGATGATGATGATGATGATGATGATGATGATGATGATGATGATGATGATGATGATGATGATGATGATGATGATGATGATGATGATGATGATGATGATGATGATGATGATGATGATGATGATGATGATGATGATGATGATGATGATGATGATGATGATGATGATGATGATGATGATGATGATGATGATGATGATGATGATGATGATGATGATGATGATGATGATGATGATGATGATGATGATGATGATGATGATGATGATGATGATGATGATGATGATGATGATGATGATGATGATGATGATGATGATGATGATGATGATGATGATGATGATGATGATGATGATGATGATGATGATGATGATGATGATGATGATGATGATGATGATGATGATGATGATGATGATGATGATGATGATGATGATGATGATGATGATGATGATGATGATGATGATGATGATGATGATGATGATGATGATGATGATGATGATGATGATGATGATGATGATGATGATGATGATGATGATGATGATGATGATGATGATGATGATGATGATGATGATGATGATGATGATGATGATGATGATGATGATGATGATGATGATGATGATGATGATGATGATGATGATGATGATGATGATGATGATGATGATGATGATGATGATGATGATGATGATGATGATGATGATGATGATGATGATGATGATGATGATGATGATGATGATGATGATGATGATGATGATGATGATGATGATGATGATGATGATGATGATGATGATGATGATGATGATGATGATGATGATGATGATGATGATGATGATGATGATGATGATGATGATGATGATGATGATGATGATGATGATGATGATGATGATGATGATGATGATGATGATGATGATGATGATGATGATGATGATGATGATGATGATGATGATGATGATGATGATGATGATGATGATGATGATGATGATGATGATGATGATGATGATGATGATGATGATGATGATGATGATGATGATGATGATGATGATGATGATGATGATGATGATGATGATGATGATGATGATGATGATGATGATGATGATGATGATGATGATGATGATGATGATGATGATGATGATGATGATGATGATGATGATGATGATGATGATGATGATGATGATGATGATGATGATGATGATGATGATGATGATGATGATGATGATGATGATGATGATGATGATGATGATGATGATGATGATGATGATGATGATGATGATGATGATGATGATGATGATGATGATGATGATGATGATGATGATGATGATGATGATGATGATGATGATGATGATGATGATGATGATGATGATGATGATGATGATGATGATGATGATGATGATGATGATGATGATGATGATGATGATGATGATGATGATGATGATGATGATGATGATGATGATGATGATGATGATGATGATGATGATGATGATGATGATGATGATGATGATGATGATGATGATGATGATGATGATGATGATGATGATGATGATGATGATGATGATGATGATGATGATGATGATGATGATGATGATGATGATGATGATGATGATGATGATGATGATGATGATGATGATGATGATGATGATGATGATGATGATGATGATGATGATGATGATGATGATGATGATGATGATGATGATGATGATGATGATGATGATGATGATGATGATGATGATGATGATGATGATGATGATGATGATGATGATGATGATGATGATGATGATGATGATGATGATGATGATGATGATGATGATGATGATGATGATGATGATGATGATGATGATGATGATGATGATGATGATGATGATGATGATGATGATGATGATGATGATGATGATGATGATGATGATGATGATGATGATGATGATGATGATGATGATGATGATGATGATGATGATGATGATGATGATGATGATGATGATGATGATGATGATGATGATGATGATGATGATGATGATGATGATGATGATGATGATGATGATGATGATGATGATGATGATGATGATGATGATGATGATGATGATGATGATGATGATGATGATGATGATGATGATGATGATGATGATGATGATGATGATGATGATGATGATGATGATGATGATGATGATGATGATGATGATGATGATGATGATGATGATGATGATGATGATGATGATGATGATGATGATGATGATGATGATGATGATGATGATGATGATGATGATGATGATGATGATGATGATGATGATGATGATGATGATGATGATGATGATGATGATGATGATGATGATGATGATGATGATGATGATGATGATGATGATGATGATGATGATGATGATGATGATGATGATGATGATGATGATGATGATGATGATGATGATGATGATGATGATGATGATGATGATGATGATGATGATGATGATGATGATGATGATGATGATGATGATGATGATGATGATGATGATGATGATGATGATGATGATGATGATGATGATGATGATGATGATGATGATGATGATGATGATGATGATGATGATGATGATGATGATGATGATGATGATGATGATGATGATGATGATGATGATGATGATGATGATGATGATGATGATGATGATGATGATGATGATGATGATGATGATGATGATGATGATGATGATGATGATGATGATGATGATGATGATGATGATGATGATGATGATGATGATGATGATGATGATGATGATGATGATGATGATGATGATGATGATGATGATGATGATGATGATGATGATGATGATGATGATGATGATGATGATGATGATGATGATGATGATGATGATGATGATGATGATGATGATGATGATGATGATGATGATGATGATGATGATGATGATGATGATGATGATGATGATGATGATGATGATGATGATGATGATGATGATGATGATGATGATGATGATGATGATGATGATGATGATGATGATGATGATGATGATGATGATGATGATGATGATGATGATGATGATGATGATGATGATGATGATGATGATGATGATGATGATGATGATGATGATGATGATGATGATGATGATGATGATGATGATGATGATGATGATGATGATGATGATGATGATGATGATGATGATGATGATGATGATGATGATGATGATGATGATGATGATGATGATGATGATGATGATGATGATGATGATGATGATGATGATGATGATGATGATGATGATGATGATGATGATGATGATGATGATGATGATGATGATGATGATGATGATGATGATGATGATGATGATGATGATGATGATGATGATGATGATGATGATGATGATGATGATGATGATGATGATGATGATGATGATGATGATGATGATGATGATGATGATGATGATGATGATGATGATGATGATGATGATGATGATGATGATGATGATGATGATGATGATGATGATGATGATGATGATGATGATGATGATGATGATGATGATGATGATGATGATGATGATGATGATGATGATGATGATGATGATGATGATGATGATGATGATGATGATGATGATGATGATGATGATGATGATGATGATGATGATGATGATGATGATGATGATGATGATGATGATGATGATGATGATGATGATGATGATGATGATGATGATGATGATGATGATGATGATGATGATGATGATGATGATGATGATGATGATGATGATGATGATGATGATGATGATGATGATGATGATGATGATGATGATGATGATGATGATGATGATGATGATGATGATGATGATGATGATGATGATGATGATGATGATGATGATGATGATGATGATGATGATGATGATGATGATGATGATGATGATGATGATGATGATGATGATGATGATGATGATGATGATGATGATGATGATGATGATGATGATGATGATGATGATGATGATGATGATGATGATGATGATGATGATGATGATGATGATGATGATGATGATGATGATGATGATGATGATGATGATGATGATGATGATGATGATGATGATGATGATGATGATGATGATGATGATGATGATGATGATGATGATGATGATGATGATGATGATGATGATGATGATGATGATGATGATGATGATGATGATGATGATGATGATGATGATGATGATGATGATGATGATGATGATGATGATGATGATGATGATGATGATGATGATGATGATGATGATGATGATGATGATGATGATGATGATGATGATGATGATGATGATGATGATGATGATGATGATGATGATGATGATGATGATGATGATGATGATGATGATGATGATGATGATGATGATGATGATGATGATGATGATGATGATGATGATGATGATGATGATGATGATGATGATGATGATGATGATGATGATGATGATGATGATGATGATGATGATGATGATGATGATGATGATGATGATGATGATGATGATGATGATGATGATGATGATGATGATGATGATGATGATGATGATGATGATGATGATGATGATGATGATGATGATGATGATGATGATGATGATGATGATGATGATGATGATGATGATGATGATGATGATGATGATGATGATGATGATGATGATGATGATGATGATGATGATGATGATGATGATGATGATGATGATGATGATGATGATGATGATGATGATGATGATGATGATGATGATGATGATGATGATGATGATGATGATGATGATGATGATGATGATGATGATGATGATGATGATGATGATGATGATGATGATGATGATGATGATGATGATGATGATGATGATGATGATGATGATGATGATGATGATGATGATGATGATGATGATGATGATGATGATGATGATGATGATGATGATGATGATGATGATGATGATGATGATGATGATGATGATGATGATGATGATGATGATGATGATGATGATGATGATGATGATGATGATGATGATGATGATGATGATGATGATGATGATGATGATGATGATGATGATGATGATGATGATGATGATGATGATGATGATGATGATGATGATGATGATGATGATGATGATGATGATGATGATGATGATGATGATGATGATGATGATGATGATGATGATGATGATGATGATGATGATGATGATGATGATGATGATGATGATGATGATGATGATGATGATGATGATGATGATGATGATGATGATGATGATGATGATGATGATGATGATGATGATGATGATGATGATGATGATGATGATGATGATGATGATGATGATGATGATGATGATGATGATGATGATGATGATGATGATGATGATGATGATGATGATGATGATGATGATGATGATGATGATGATGATGATGATGATGATGATGATGATGATGATGATGATGATGATGATGATGATGATGATGATGATGATGATGATGATGATGATGATGATGATGATGATGATGATGATGATGATGATGATGATGATGATGATGATGATGATGATGATGATGATGATGATGATGATGATGATGATGATGATGATGATGATGATGATGATGATGATGATGATGATGATGATGATGATGATGATGATGATGATGATGATGATGATGATGATGATGATGATGATGATGATGATGATGATGATGATGATGATGATGATGATGATGATGATGATGATGATGATGATGATGATGATGATGATGATGATGATGATGATGATGATGATGATGATGATGATGATGATGATGATGATGATGATGATGATGATGATGATGATGATGATGATGATGATGATGATGATGATGATGATGATGATGATGATGATGATGATGATGATGATGATGATGATGATGATGATGATGATGATGATGATGATGATGATGATGATGATGATGATGATGATGATGATGATGATGATGATGATGATGATGATGATGATGATGATGATGATGATGATGATGATGATGATGATGATGATGATGATGATGATGATGATGATGATGATGATGATGATGATGATGATGATGATGATGATGATGATGATGATGATGATGATGATGATGATGATGATGATGATGATGATGATGATGATGATGATGATGATGATGATGATGATGATGATGATGATGATGATGATGATGATGATGATGATGATGATGATGATGATGATGATGATGATGATGATGATGATGATGATGATGATGATGATGATGATGATGATGATGATGATGATGATGATGATGATGATGATGATGATGATGATGATGATGATGATGATGATGATGATGATGATGATGATGATGATGATGATGATGATGATGATGATGATGATGATGATGATGATGATGATGATGATGATGATGATGATGATGATGATGATGATGATGATGATGATGATGATGATGATGATGATGATGATGATGATGATGATGATGATGATGATGATGATGATGATGATGATGATGATGATGATGATGATGATGATGATGATGATGATGATGATGATGATGATGATGATGATGATGATGATGATGATGATGATGATGATGATGATGATGATGATGATGATGATGATGATGATGATGATGATGATGATGATGATGATGATGATGATGATGATGATGATGATGATGATGATGATGATGATGATGATGATGATGATGATGATGATGATGATGATGATGATGATGATGATGATGATGATGATGATGATGATGATGATGATGATGATGATGATGATGATGATGATGATGATGATGATGATGATGATGATGATGATGATGATGATGATGATGATGATGATGATGATGATGATGATGATGATGATGATGATGATGATGATGATGATGATGATGATGATGATGATGATGATGATGATGATGATGATGATGATGATGATGATGATGATGATGATGATGATGATGATGATGATGATGATGATGATGATGATGATGATGATGATGATGATGATGATGATGATGATGATGATGATGATGATGATGATGATGATGATGATGATGATGATGATGATGATGATGATGATGATGATGATGATGATGATGATGATGATGATGATGATGATGATGATGATGATGATGATGATGATGATGATGATGATGATGATGATGATGATGATGATGATGATGATGATGATGATGATGATGATGATGATGATGATGATGATGATGATGATGATGATGATGATGATGATGATGATGATGATGATGATGATGATGATGATGATGATGATGATGATGATGATGATGATGATGATGATGATGATGATGATGATGATGATGATGATGATGATGATGATGATGATGATGATGATGATGATGATGATGATGATGATGATGATGATGATGATGATGATGATGATGATGATGATGATGATGATGATGATGATGATGATGATGATGATGATGATGATGATGATGATGATGATGATGATGATGATGATGATGATGATGATGATGATGATGATGATGATGATGATGATGATGATGATGATGATGATGATGATGATGATGATGATGATGATGATGATGATGATGATGATGATGATGATGATGATGATGATGATGATGATGATGATGATGATGATGATGATGATGATGATGATGATGATGATGATGATGATGATGATGATGATGATGATGATGATGATGATGATGATGATGATGATGATGATGATGATGATGATGATGATGATGATGATGATGATGATGATGATGATGATGATGATGATGATGATGATGATGATGATGATGATGATGATGATGATGATGATGATGATGATGATGATGATGATGATGATGATGATGATGATGATGATGATGATGATGATGATGATGATGATGATGATGATGATGATGATGATGATGATGATGATGATGATGATGATGATGATGATGATGATGATGATGATGATGATGATGATGATGATGATGATGATGATGATGATGATGATGATGATGATGATGATGATGATGATGATGATGATGATGATGATGATGATGATGATGATGATGATGATGATGATGATGATGATGATGATGATGATGATGATGATGATGATGATGATGATGATGATGATGATGATGATGATGATGATGATGATGATGATGATGATGATGATGATGATGATGATGATGATGATGATGATGATGATGATGATGATGATGATGATGATGATGATGATGATGATGATGATGATGATGATGATGATGATGATGATGATGATGATGATGATGATGATGATGATGATGATGATGATGATGATGATGATGATGATGATGATGATGATGATGATGATGATGATGATGATGATGATGATGATGATGATGATGATGATGATGATGATGATGATGATGATGATGATGATGATGATGATGATGATGATGATGATGATGATGATGATGATGATGATGATGATGATGATGATGATGATGATGATGATGATGATGATGATGATGATGATGATGATGATGATGATGATGATGATGATGATGATGATGATGATGATGATGATGATGATGATGATGATGATGATGATGATGATGATGATGATGATGATGATGATGATGATGATGATGATGATGATGATGATGATGATGATGATGATGATGATGATGATGATGATGATGATGATGATGATGATGATGATGATGATGATGATGATGATGATGATGATGATGATGATGATGATGATGATGATGATGATGATGATGATGATGATGATGATGATGATGATGATGATGATGATGATGATGATGATGATGATGATGATGATGATGATGATGATGATGATGATGATGATGATGATGATGATGATGATGATGATGATGATGATGATGATGATGATGATGATGATGATGATGATGATGATGATGATGATGATGATGATGTATATTTATGTGTTTTAGTGGAGATTTGTGAGATATTTGGTGATAGATTTCTACAATATAATGGACAACTTAGTTTGATAGATGTTTGATAGTAATGAGAGACTAAGCTACTGTTTCATTCCATCTGAATGAATCGAATGGACAAAAAAACGTAGTTCGAAGTCACTTTACTTTAGCTACTTTTTTGTTGGATAATTCAAATTAGATAAGGAATATTGTTAAGTATCTTGTGTCTATCGGCTTATTTATCGTATGTGTATGTTCATAATAATCAAATGTTCGTTATCATTCATTTTTTTTTGGTTACTTACATTCAAGAGGTGTCTGTATGTCTTTCAGCGAGAAGAAGATAAACATTTATTAAGTCTTCACATTACTATGAATCAATAAACGTACTTACTAAACTATGATCCTCATGACATAACAACCATCGATTGTTAATCGATATGAGAACGAACCAGCTTCCAGCTGAAGAAGAAATTAGGAAAAGACGATGGTAATGGATAGGACATTCATTACGCAATTCATCAAACTGCATCACGAGGCAAGCCCTAACTTGGAATCCTGAAGGGAAGTAGAAAAGAGGAAGGCCGAAGAACACATTACGTCGGATAATAGAAGCAGATATGAAAAGAATGAATAACAACTGGAAGGAGCTAGAAAGGATTGCCCAGGACATGTTTGGATGGTGAATGCTGGTGAGCGGCCTACGCTCCTTCACGAGGAGTAACAGGCGTAAGCAAGTAAGTTTTGATCCGAAACCTTCTGCAACGTATTTTCTTCATGCTACTTATTATTATGATTAGTACCGCTGACAAACATTTCTTGTGAATTTAACCATAGAAGTAGTTGGCTAAGTTAGAAATGGCTTGGTTGTATCTGAATAAAATTAATTAGGAATCGCTTTATACAACAAATTGAGCAGTAATATGTAATTCAGCACAAGATCTTGGGTTTCGAAGGAAATACAGAATCACTATTTATCGCTTCTTAAGTTTTGAGGAATTCCATGGATTATATCAAAGTTTGAAATGAAGAAACGAACATTTACACACAAATAAAGATAGAAGTGACGAATTTTATTCTGTAATAGAATCGTTCTATTTAGAACTAGTCATTCGGATGTACTTGTATCACATAGTTGATGTTCACTGCCGGATTCAAACCCTGTACCTTTTGCTTTAAATGAGATAGCTTTATTCGCTTAGCTACTCACTTACTTACTTACTTATTCCCGTTACTCCTCGTGAAGGAGCGTAGGCCGCTCACCAGCATTCACCATCCAAACATGTCCTGGGCAATCCTTTCTAGCTCCTTCCAGTTGTTATTCATTCTTTTCATATCTGCTTCTATTATCCGACGTAATGTGTTCTTCGGCCTTCCTCTTTTCTACTTCCCTTCAGGATTCCAAGTTAGGGCTTGCCTCGTGATGCAGTTTGATGAATTGCGTAATGAATGTCCTATCCATTACCATCGTCTTTTCCTAATTTCTTCTTCAGCTGGAAGCTGGTTTGTTCTCTCCCACAGAAGGCTGTTGCTGATGGTATCCGGCCAATGGGTGTTGAGTATCTTGCGTAGACAGCTATTTATAAATACTTGTACTTTCTTGATTGTGGTCGTTGTAGTTCTCCAAGTTTCGGCTCCATACAGTAGAACTGTCTTGACGCTGGTATTGAAGATTCTTACTTTGATATTGGCTGAAAGTTGTTTTGAGTTCCATATGTTCTTCAATTGTAGGAATGCTGTCCTTGCTTTGCCAATCCTCGCCTTTATGTCTGCATCGGAATCTGCTTGTTCATCGATGATGCTTCCTAGGTATGTGAAGGATTCTACATCTTCCAGAGTCTCGCCATCAAGTGTGATTGGATTGCTGTTCTCCGTGTTGAATTTGAGGACCTTGGTTTTCCCTTTGTGTATGCTGAGGCCTACTGATGCAGAGACTGCTGCAACACTGGCTGTCTTCATCTGCATCTGTTCGTGTGTACGTGATAGGAGGGCTAGGTCATCTGCGAAGTTCAAGTCGTCTAATTGATTCTGAGCTGTCTATTGTATTCCGTGTTTTCCCTCAGATGCAGTGGTCTTCATAATCCAGTTGACCACCAGAAGAAAGAGAAAGGGAGAGAGTAAACAGTCTTGTCTGACTCCGGTCCTTACTTGAAATGCATCTGTCAGCTGTCCTCCATGCACGACCTTGCACTGTAGTCCATCGTATGAGTTCCGGATAATATTGACAATCTTCTCAGGAACTCCGTAGTGTCGAGGAAGTTTCCATAACGTCCTCCTATCTACACTGTCGAATCCCTTTTCATAATCAATGGATTTATATATCCTAACTACAAATGAAAACAAATAGGAAGAATGACTAGATTATACAGATGGATATTTTAATATTGAATGTAAACTTAGTATGACTATAATGTCAAATTGATCATGTCATTTATCACCAAACACTATCGAACTACTTGACATGAAACTGTTCCATCGATTAGTAACTTATTTTAAGGTATAAGTAAAGATAGACGGTTACTGGCAGTGGAAACCATGACCCACGTTTAGTCCTATGTGTGACTCATCAGCTGGATATACCTGAATCTCAAAGTTGATGTTCTTTCTGGGACTCGAACCCGGTACCGTTCACTTTTAAGGTATGACATTTCACTATCTCTTCCTATAAATAAATATATCTTTCCTCTCAATCATGATCTTATTCTATCTTCTAAAATAAACTGTGAAAATATAATCAGAGGCCTATTCTGTAGTTATTCAAATCTTTCAATTAGAATTTGAAGATGTCCAGATATTTGTAGATTGCCAACACTCTAACTAGTAACAACTTCTATAATCAAAACGCCACAACCCAGTATAATCGGAAGTCAGCAGAGAGGAGATTCGAAGATATATTTGATAGGCTATCAATATATCTAGAACTGACTGATCTGAACTGACTAGCGGTTGTAGTAGAAGTTGAGCACACCGTACCCATTCATAATCTGGTGCGGATGCGTGACTGAGAGTATTCAGCTATGTGAGTTCATTAAAACCTAATATGGCCATCATCAAATGTTGAAGACCTACACAGCTATTGATTTTGGGGATTTAATTACCGCTGCAAATTTATCAACTCGATCCTAGTTATATCCAATTGATTTGATTAGAAGATCAATGTGATATAAATTACGGTTTGTCACAAACCTAAGAAATCCAGGTTGATAATCAATCAACTTCTTTTTTAAACAAAACTACGTGGATTGGTTAAAGTTAAACATTAACACGGTTGGATACCGGCTCAATAGTATAGAGATTAAGTTTTCATATGCGACAACGAAGGCCTTGGGTCCAACTCTCTCAGGGTGATATTGTGGATGCGCACTGCTTAATAGTTTCGTACTAGTAAGAGACGGTTGTCTAGAATCCCGAATAAATCACATGTGTGATAAATAAATGAGAAAATTTACAAATTGATGTGTAGGCATAGCTTTCGTGAAGCACATAGGTGTCTTCAGGGACCCTAAAGGAGACGAACAGTTCCCATTCAATCTTAAAAGGGTTTAAAATATAAAAAATAGATTCGATAATAAATATTCTAATAGATTATTTCACTTGAATTGAATTATTGACTTATAATTGAATTCATGAGTCAATTAAAGCTAGACCACTATGGAAAACATGAAAGCACCGTACGGTTGTTTCATCCTCGTACAGGATCCCATAGTAGTGCGTATCCTCGGTTGCACACAAGGGACTCGAACCCATGATCTTCGGTTTGGCACGCGAACGCTTAACCTATAAACCATTGAACCAGCATCCAATGGTGTTAATGCCTAAATTCAATCAGTCCACAAAACGGACCATCCAGTACTTCAAGGTTTTCCATGATAATCTAGCTTTAGTCGACTCATGAAATCGACTATTAAATTACTACTTAACCTCTTTGAATTGTATAAAACGAATCTTTTTATTCGGCAGAAAAAAAACGTTTCTTTTTTTCTCTTTTCTTTAGTTCAAATATCTAATTCATGTTAATTACAGGGCTAACATTGAAATGTCCATTGAAATCACAACAACAACAACAACAACAACAACAGCAAAAAACCCCTCAATTTTTCAATGATTTTCAACATCATTTGAACTTGAAATCCTGGAATAATACAATCGATATGTTGTACCTATGTGTATGTGTGTGTGTGGGGGGGTGAGGGCAGGTAGGTGGTTGTGTGGGTTGGTAGGTGTTTGTATTCTAATAAGCCGATTAATACTACTGTTGTCATTCGAATAATAGATCAAATCACACATCAATACCTATCTATGCATAGGTCAAATATAAAAAAGAAGAAAAGTGAACATTTTTTTTCTTCTTAAATATAACACTTTCAATGTCAACAAACGTATAATTAAGAGATCTGACAAAAAATCAGCAGCAACAATAAAACAAGAGAGAAAATTTTTATTTATTTCGACAGTTTTTTTTTGTGTGTGTTTTTCAGTTAACAAAATGGACAAAGAATTTGATTAAGTCCTCATTTTAAGACGTTCAAGTTGAGAATGATGATTAGAGATAGTTAACAGAAAATTATGAAAATAACTTTTGTACTACTTGACTTTTGTGAACAAGGTGTACCTATAATCTTGAAGGAACTGATGGTTTCAGATGCTCTGTTATGGTCGAGGATGAGGAGAGTTAGCTTATTCTCTCGAAACGCTCTCACATGGTCATATGTATATAGTCACTGTCAGGGAAGTCCTACTCACTGCATTCTCGTGGCGAGGGTGTTGTTTACGAAATTGAAAGAACGAAAAATAAATGTCCAACGCTCTGACTGGGTTGGTGGACACGAAGAGTTCATCTAGGGGAGTTGAAAAACCCTGATTCCAATGCATTGATGCACATGGGCTGCCTCCAGTATCCTGAAGGGACAAATGCCGTATGAACTTATTGTTGGTCACCGGCCATCATGGGACTGCATCTCCTGATGTTGCTCCACTGCATTGTGGGTCAAAACTTTTGGTCAAAGGCTCGGGATGTGGTCCCTTAAGGAAACCGCCTGTTTCGATATGGGCACCCGGACAATACCACAGCCCATAAAAAAGCAATTGACTTGTATGGTGCACAAGTCTTCGGTACCCCTTTGCACCGATATTCGTGTTCAAATATACATAAAAACCTGATGGATTCGATTAAGAGTCACTACCCAGTAATCAATTGTGGATTGATTGATATTAGACACTAACACAATTGGATGCCGGCCGGATCAGTGGTCCAATAGGTTAGGCGTTCGCACGCGAGACCGAAGGCCATGGGTTCGAATCCCGCGAGCAGGATCGTGGATGAGCACTGATGAGGAGTCCCACAATATGACGGCCGTCCAGTGCTTCCAGGTTTTCAATGATGGTCCAACATCAATCGGTTCATGATCTCAATCAAAAACTTAACAATCTCCACAACCCTTAAACTGATAGTATTAAGTTAGAATCTCAAATATAAAATGCAAGTACATTCAATAGAATAAAATATTCCAGGGTTAGTTACTCATCAACTTTTCTGCATATTGAGTTGGGTCTTTTTTGAGTCCTATTCTATTATTGATTACATTTTATCGATCAAATTTTGGGATAATATCAACTATATGAATAGTACTCATTAAAACAATCAATCGATTATTTTGTACAGTGCAAAGGATACAGAATAATAATAATAATAATAATAATAATAATAATAATAATAATAATAATAATAATAATAACAGTACTATACCACCACCAACACCACCACCACCACCATTACTACAACCACCACTAGTAATAATAGTGAGCTTTATTTACAATCGACATGTCAATAGCCTTCATGATAAGTTAAAGGAATAATATGTATCTATATATATGATACTTTAATTGATTTTAATGTAAAATATTATGCTAAGATTTGTTTGGGATAAAAATCACTATGCTCTCAAATGTCCTGGTACAGCCGAGGGTAACGAGTATTAGTTCTCACTATCTTTCGAAATATTCTCACACAGGCACGCATATACGGTCATTGTAAGAGTAATCTTACTCATTGCATTCTCACGAAATTATTGTTGTTTACGAAATTGACAGGATGATAAGCGAATATCGGAGGCTTTAACTGGATTAATGGATATGAAGGATCCACATAGGGCAGTTTGAAAACCCTTATTCCAAACATGGACTCCAGGATCCCAAAGGAACGAATAGAGTATGAACCAATTATTGGGACTACATCTCCTGATGTTGCTCTACTGCATTATGGATTAGACCTTTATGTCGAAGGCTCCGTATGTGATCTCCTAAGAAAATCACCCAGGCAGTATCATAACCCACACACAAATCAACTGACTTGTATGGCGCATTGACCACTGAGCTGGCATCCAACGGTGTTAATGTCTAACTTCAACTAATCCACGAAACTGAGCCACCGTCCACCATTGTCCTCAGCGAATTACTATCTCACAACTGATCCGGTTGCTGAGGTGTCTAATAATAGAACGAAATAGTCGTCCAGTGCTTCCAGGTTTTCCATAGAAGTCTAGCATCAATTTGCTCATGAGTTTAACTATAAAACTACTAAAATCTCCGCAAAACACCATGTGATATTTGTTTTTAGTTTGAGTTAACAATGAAGACATCAGTAAGTTAGTCAATATTGATTGATTACAATAAAAATAACATGAGCAATGGAAGTAATCACAGAAAGTAATAGTCCCAGGATATCGGAAATTAAATTGATTTGGAATTGTAAACCGTTTGATTTCAACTCAGTTGGATCTTCAGTTAGTTACCCAGTTTATAACCCTTCGAAATTTTCATATTAAGATGAAACTGCTATCCAATACTTTCTGGTTTAGATTAGTTGTTGAAGTAGGTTTATTTCGTGATGTGAACCTGGAGAAAAGTAGGGGGGACTGGGTCTTGGCTGCAACATGATGCAGGGCTAGTCAAATGTCACTGAGCCCGAGCCAAATCATCCGACAGTTTGGGTCACTGAATATCAAACAGATCATCGATCACCATCAAGGTCAATAATAACCAATGCACATCAGTTAATCGTATGCCATGGACTGGTGCATGTGGTGGTGGTCTCGCTATCTTCTCAGTACTCATTCTTACTAATATATTTTCATAATAAATTCCTTTGTGTTATGCGGTCTTCAAAGTCGCCATAGTGCTTTGATACGTCGAAGGAATAATTCACGTTGATTGCTGACGTCGAGGTGTGACTTTGAAACTAGTTGGTTCATCACACTATTTTCGTATAACTTGAGTAAACCTCCAATCATTTGACATAGATCATCTACGTTGGTGATTTAAAATGTTATTACAAAGCAATTAGCATGCACCAGTCTGCGAAATAAAACCAAAGAATAAGTATTGAAGTGATTATAATAAACAGTCTAAATAAACATATTATGATTCAAGCTGATGTATTTCAATGTATTTCAGTCTCCTAATGACTTACGCATTCAAGTATTATTATTAGCAGTTGTCGTAGTACTTCATCCAAGATGAATAAGCAGTAAAATCTGATTGTTTACTTATTGTCAATGATTTTTCAATTATCATAGTTAAGTTCAATCAGACATATTTCAGATAGTTGGGAATAAAACATACTCGACTTAGGTTTTGTTCTAGTTGGTACTCGTCAGAAAAGTGTCCCTGTAATCGTGAAGGAAATGATACTTCCAAATCACACTTGATGACAAAACTCTGGAAGATGTGGAATCTTTCAACTATCTGGGAAACATCATCGATGAAGAAGGAGGATCGAATGCAGACGTAAATGCGAGGATTCGTAAAGTAAGGGCAACTTTCCTACAGTTGAAAACATATGCAACTCAAAACAACCGTCTGCAAGCCAATATCAAAGTCACAATCTTCAATACGAATGTCAACACAGTTAGTTCTATAGTACGAATGAATAACAACTGGAAAGAGCTTTAAAGAATTGTGCAGGACAGGGTTGGATAAAGAATGCTGGTGAGCGACCTATGCTGCTTCGCGAGGAGTAACAGGAGTAAGTTAGTAAGTACTCACCTTCACCATTGAAGATAGGTACGCCTAGTTATTGTTGCTGCGACTGACCTATTGTTGGATCGAGATATTTACAATTAACTGCTTCCGATCAATTAACATCATAACATAATGGACACAATACTGACCATGTTTAGACATTATAAGCAAAGATGACTAGTGGCTAACAGTATTATTTGGGACTCGTCAGCTGGATGTAACTGCATCTTAGAGTTGATAATCGCTCTGGGACTTGAACCCAATATTGTTCACTTTAAACGATCTAAAAGAGTTTTAGACTGAGACGAAACAATTACATCCAATGTCTTTCGATTTTTCCAAAAGTTGATCTCACTTTCAATTAATACAAAACGAATCTATTGAAATGATGAAAATCTTTTGTAAAAGAATTTCAATTTGTCATGTTTACGCAAGGGTTTAAAGATAAGTTATCGACTGAAATGAAGTTTAGATAACTGATTATGCAATAAGATAGGTTTCATCAAGTCATGACGATTCATAATATTACATATAGACATAGACATACACACACACATGCAGACAAACACACACACACACAAACAAACTATACCCCAAGGAAAGCATATTCTGATAAAGACGATTAACCTACCTAGTTTTTAGGTTGGATAGATAATCATTTCGACATTTCTATTTAAGTTACAAACCTTAAACTTGAATTCAAATCGGATTAGATAACCGTCGTTTATTTAAGGGAAAACAACTACTGTCCATTATCTTATCTAAAGACAAAAATTTTTCCTTTATATCCCATAACATTGAATCTTATCAAAACAATTACATAATCATTGGATATTAATAAAAGATTTTTTTGTTTTTTTGTTTTGTTTTCATATCCCATTCATCTTATGATGACGACAATGGTGATGGTGATGATGATGATCAGGATGAGGATGATATTAGTTGTATTGAATGTCAATTACTTATGTGAATCATCGACATTCATCATCAATTCATTGTAAAATATATTCATACTCTCTCTTACCCCCCTATATTAATGATAATTTTAAAAAATTCAATAACCAATAAAAACACAGCATTTGATGATGGGGGTGATGGTGGTGATTAGGATAAGGATTAATTATAACTAAATTAAGTATTATTATTATTAGTATGATTATTACAAGAAGAAGACGAAAGGGGGTGAATTAAGGGAATGAATCAATCATGATATAGGAACGAGATCATTTCACTCATTCTGATTGGTTAATTTCATCAACAGTTGACCTTGATATCCCAATAGTGACAACTATTTATTAATCATAAAAAGTAGTCAAAAATCTGAATTGGGATAAAACCCTTTTGATTCCCCCAAGACACACAAAACTTAATTTATTTTTTATTTTTATTATTTTATTTGTTTTTTTTTAAAATAAAAAAAACATCTTCCTTTGATCAGAATGGTATTTGAAACTCATGATGTACTTAAATATTTAACCGACATGGAAACTAATTTGAATATTGGCAAAGGAACAACCACAACAACAACAAGATCCCCATTACATGAGTTATTTAATACTACTACGAATAAGAATAATAATTCACAAGAGGATCGATTATTACGTCATAAATTATGCAATACAGATCAGTTCTATTCCAGGCAAACTATAGAATCCATAGATCCAAATTTGATTCAATCCACAAATGAATTTCCTCATTTACCAGATCATTTAAAGATGATTATAAATAAAACATGGAAAACATATTATAATCAAGAGAATAATGAAAATCATATACCGAATCTAACGAAAACATCAGCTGTATGTACATGTCAAGCGAATATATTAATGAATGATTCAATATATTTCCCTATATGTTCAACAACAACAACAACCCCAACAAGTCTTGATACAAGTTTAGAAATGAATCAATCAATGAAGAAGATACCAAAAATGACTAAATTACGACCAAGACCATTATTAAGACAAAAAGAAAATGATGAACATTATCTAACATCATCATTATCATCAAATAGTATTGTGATTACTTCAAAGACAGTCACAAGTTCTAATGAATTACAATCTCTGACTAATACACATAGACCAATGCAAGTACATATGCGTTATCCAATACCACGTAAACAAGATGCTATTTATAATGCAAGATATAAAACGCAACCATGTTTACATTATCAAAAATATAAACATTGTCCACTTGGTGATAATTGTCATTTTGCTCATGGTCCAGATGAATTAAAATATCCACAATTTCATCCAAAATATCGTACTAGAATATGTATTAATTATGCTAATAATGGTCATTGTCCATTTGGTAGTAATTGTTATTTTTTACATTTTACACCACCACCACCAATCACAACAACCATCACCAACACCACAACAGCAACAGTAACAACTGAGAACCATTTTAATCATAATCTGAATAGAACAGCTACGAGTTATTGGGATATTGATCATTTTATACATGATGATAGTACTATTATTAGTAGTAGTAATAGTAATAGTCATATGGATACAATGTCATTATGTTCAAATTTAAGGCGAGTTACTATTTAAAATTTAAAAACGTAATTAATATTTTGTTTTGTTTTTCCTTGTTGCCAAGGCGTTTTTGTTTTGTTTATCCTTTAAGGAACATTTATATATATATACCTTTCTATTATTATTATTTAAGATGATAAAATTAATATTTATTTAAATAGATTTCGTTCATTCTGTAATTTTCAAATCTTTACTACTTATTTTTTATATCAGTATTATTGTGACTACTTATATACATAGACACTCCCCCCACTCCCACACGTTTTGTATTTGTTATTCAAGTAAACAACCTTTTCCAGGGATCATTGTAGATCGGATTTCTTTTAATCATTATTATTATTATTATTATTACTACTATGATATTGATTCACAGATCGATAATTGTGCTCGTTCCAGGGATCATGGAAATCCGATTTCTTTTAATCATTATTATTATGATATTGATTCACAGATCAATCAGTGTGCTCGATTTGAATTGATTTTTAATTTCTAATTAATACTACCTCTATGTTTATGGTGTTTTAATGGATAGACTTATTCATTTATATTAATAATAATAATAATAATAACACCGGTATAATACTTTATTTTTGTATTGTTGTCAAGTCCATCATAAGTTCCAAGTTGCTGTTGTTGTTGTCGTCATTGTTGTTGTTTATCTCTTCTTTATCTTTTTAATGTTCCCATTTTGTTTACTTGTGATCTATCCATCTTATCTTTTTTTAATAAAAACACATTTTGATAAAGATATTTTTATGTCATACTATTTTTATAAATAAACATTAGTCTTATAATGTGATGATATTCTTGACCGTATTGTATTGATGAGATGTGTGTGCATTTCATCTTCAACAAGTAACGATGAACTGAGTAAATGACGTTGATATTACTGTTAATATGGTATCGTATCCAAAATCCAAGGTTCCGGGGAATGACCATCACCAAGGTTAAAAAGGAATTTCGGTGCCATTTCCCCAAAGTTTACTATAGCGACTTTATATTCTGAACTTTACAGTCAGATCACTTGGCAATGTTTGTAGATGGTCACGTGTTATGTATGCCTGAACACTTAATACTAGGACTCACAATGCTGACTAGTGTTGAGGGTGGTTGGAAGAAATTTAAGAGTGGCCAAACCAAAATGTAGCATCAGTTCATAAATTAACTGACTTCTGGTATTAGCCTTGTTGATACATGCAAATTACTTGGTTGGGGTCCGCGCGACTATCGTTACCAATGGTTGGTTACTGTCACATTGTTCAGAATCGATCACAATAGTGTAGGTGTGTACAGTGATTAAAAATTCTTTTTACCTTTCCTTCTATCAACTAACTCTTTCTCATTGTATTATATCCTTATATGCAATCTTGCTTTTTATATATATTGCTGTCAATGAAGTAACTACTATGAACTCGGTGTACATCTTGTGCTAATGTAGTGTGGCAATTTAAGTCGATGCGCATGTGTGCCTGTATCTACGTTGTAGCTAACCAACATGACAATTAAGTATATTTGTACTCCTATTGTTACATTCATGAGTAACAAATAAAGCAGTGGAATCCACCACACGTGTTTTGTTCTACTTAAGACTTGTCATCTAGATCTCTCTATATTCCAGAGTTGATCTTTACCCTGGGATTCAAACCCAATACGTTGTAACTGACTTATTCCACTATGTCTATAAAATCTAATAAACAATAAGGCCTGTTTTCTGAAAAGTACAGTAATCTGTGCCAAATTTTATTTGTAAACTAATAAGTTATTGATTAAATGAACGTATTCACTTGTTATCCACTACTTGAACGTTATTATGACCTTCATTATGTTTTTTGTCAAAGAGGTCAATTGAGTTATAAGAACATGTTGAATCTTGTATATTTTCTTCAATAAAATTTTTTTCTCTATATCGATCATTGATTAAATCCATCCCAAATTCATTGTGATACAGATTTCCAATGTTGAAATATAATCAATATACATGATGCACGACGGTTCAGTGTTATTGATAGACTATTTCAGCGTGTTATTATGTAAGCAATATTATAAGATAGTGACCCTGTGAAACTCAATATGCTTATACACATGTATTTATTTGAACACAAATATTGGTACAAAAGGGGCACCGAATACATATGAGACACACAAGTCACTTGATTTGTGTGTGAGCTGTGATACTGCCCGGGTGCCCAGACCGAAGTAGTTGGTTTTTCTTAGGGAGTCACACCTGGAGCCTTTGACCTAAAAGTCTAATCCACAAGGCAGTGGAATAATGTTACGACATACAGTTCCATGGTAGTCGGTGACCAACGATTGGTTCATAAGCCATTTGTTGCTTCAGGATCCTGGAGCCCATGTGCATCATTGGTTGTGAATCAGGGTTTTCCAACTCTTATGAGTGGAATCCGTCTGCCCACCAACCCGGTTAAAACGCCGGACATTCTCTTCCTGTCGTCTCAATTTCGTAAACAACAGTAATGCCATGAGAAAGCAGCGCTTAGAACTTCCGTGGCGGAGGCTGTATATGCGTGGCCATGTGAGAGCATTTGGAGCACAAGAGCGGACTCTCCCTACTCTAAACCGTATCAGGGCATTTGAGGACGTTTTCATATATGGTCGATATCCAGCACATATATAAATAATTTAATTAGTGAATTAGAATAACTAAAGTTAATCCGTAACGTAACATTAAAAACATTTGCGTGACAACATTATAATCTCTTATGACTGTAACCATGACAGAACATCAAAGGCTATAAGTTAATACTCTTGTTGTGATGATTTGATTCATGCCTGAATACTTTTTTTCTTTTTGTGTAGTCCAATTTCTTCTGAGGATAATAATCTTGTCTTATTGATTAGCTTTGATAAATAGGGTGATTTCAGGTCAGTGAATAAATTTGATCCAGACTTTTATGATATAACATCATTTCATATCAAGATTATTAGTCTTTAAAGTATTATCATCAGTCCTCATGAATATCAATGGGCAATCATGTGACCTAACGAGTTTTTATATTGTGAACACCTTATATCTTACGAAAAATGGTATCCATAAAAGGAATTGGTATCATGCAATTACATAGATTCATGAGAAAAAAATAGTTGAATTCATGAGTCAGTTAAAGCTAGACCACAATGGAAAGCCTGGAAACATTGGACGGCCGTTTCGTCTAAACTGGTTTATTCCCTGGTATGGCGGAGAGTGGAAAGAGTCAGCGCTCACTTTCTAGAAATGCTCGCAAATGGCTACGCATATACAGCCACTGTCAGGAATGTTTCACTCACTGTCTTCTCGCGGTGAGGGTTTTATTTTCCAAATTGAGAGGACGAAAAGTGAATGTTGGGTGCTTTAACACCGGGTTGATGTATATGAGGAATTCATCTAGGGAAGTTGGAAAACCCTGATTCAAAACCAATGCACATAGGCTACAGGATCCTAAGGGAATAAATCATGTACGAACTTACAGTTGGT